TACGAATACTATACTAGCCGAGTAGGTTGTGAGTACTTTCCCGAAGCCAGGGCATGCTGACAAGCGGCGCGCGTTGCACAAGGTCAAGTCAAGAGGGTAAAGAAGGGGAACATTCCCCTTGAACTGCATCACCTTAAACGGACCATAAAGGTATATGGCGACGCACATGAAATTCTGAGCTTGCATTGCCCGGACAGATATTATAGTCGATGATATACTATCATATATATAATTCAAAATATACTAGTAATACTATGCACTAGCATAGGAATGGTATATTATAGGAGATAATTATAACGAATTCTTCCTATCCTAACGGCACCTCCAGCCAGTCCGTGCAGTTCCTCGTTATCTGGACCGGCGCCATCTTGTTTGACCCTTCGCAGGCCTCGACCTAGGCTCGTGAATAGTCGGTGTAAGGTAACGATGAAGGTGAGCGGTCAGTGTATCAGAGCGAAGTAGGGTCTCGTATAATGCGTACAGGCTGAACAAGGAGTTATATCAAGTGGCGGGGAGCGCGCAGTTGCAGCTGTGATAACAACACGGTCGTAGCATACTGGACGATGACTCACCGAGACATCTACAGGACGCGAAGAAACGATCGAAGACCTACGGAACCGAACTCGACTACAACGCATCGCGCAAGAAAGGGGTCATCATAATCAGTAACAGCGCCTATTGGAGGCGAGGGCATGCAGAAACGGAGAGGTAAGGTGGTCGACGCAAAGATCCGTCAAGGAGGTGGGAACGGCACTCTAATGTGATCTCTCTCTCTTGTGGGCAGGTCCATTGAGACTTATAACACCGTGCGCGATTTGGGCCGTTTGAAATAAATAATAAAAGATGATGGTAAAATAACATAATAGGATTCTAGTCTGAAACAAGGTACTTTACTGACCGTCGAACGGAAATAGTCTCAAGAAATTAAAATTTGCTGTATGCGGCAATCGCCTAATAAATTCCCACGTAAAGGCGTTTCCGAAGCTCCTACTGCAAACGCAGAATCCCACGCCAGCGTGAAATGCAATACCCGCGAGCAAAAAACTTTTTTTAGATGTGTACCTAAGGAATTTCGCTCAGAATAAATAGACGTAAAGACGCGTAGTTGTTTCGCTCTGAAGTTTGTTGGCAGCAATGAGAAATACTCCCTTCTCATCTGCTGCGTACCTTTATGAAGTTGGCTTATTTGAAAGGGACCTTATGAAATTGCTTTCCACTGACGTGTGAATAGAGTAAAGTGTCTGTATTAACGGCTTTTGCCCCTCAAAGAGGAGGGTTTAACAGTAATTGGATTGTTGGACTGTTTAACGAAAAAAATGGAGGTGAAAACTGCTGTAATTTTGCTATTAGAAGCTCCTCCCCCCAACTCCTCGCCCCACCCTCCCTCCTATCCCCACCCCTCCCACTCCATGGTTTTTCTTTGTGTTTTTATTGCCTAGTTTGCTTTGTGTTTTTAGGTTTCTCGAGCGATGTTCTTGCATGACTTTATTAAGAGATATTCTCGGGCCGTTTTAGCAACCATCTACGCAATTTCAAATAGCACGTCCGCGGTATAAAATTGAGAGCGACGATGAACGCATAGGTTAATGTCTTGTTAGCTACAAGGCCTACAGCTTCCAATTAAATACATGTCCGCCTCTAATCTATTATGTTGCGTCAGAATTTCATGGCATTTAAAGGCATATATATTATACATATATATATATATATATATATATATATTATACGCTATTGATAAAATGAATATCTGTGTAGCACGAGGAGCAATAGGCAGCTGCATGCATGTGATATAGGAGGACGCTGGAATGTCGAAGGCTGTTATAATTATAGGCTAATATAAGAGGAGTGATCATGAATTATTTATACCGAGCAGGCACGCAGCGCAGGTATAATTAGATAAGATAACATGACACCGTGTGCATGCAGGGCGTAATGTTTATCGCGTATCTAAGACGCTCTTAGACTGCGCGAGTGACCCATGCAGTCTTGTAATCGCGAGCTCAGCTCCCGCTACAGAGACGTTTGGAGTCAGACTAAATAAGGCACTCCAATTTGAGGAAAGCTATATAACACGTTTGCATGTCAGCACAACGGAACTTGAGTGCGGATAAGAGATATCACACTTCAGCTCATATTATACGTAATCATATATATAGCGATATAGCCGTCAATGGAGAGGTTCGGCGTGGGATATAGGATGTGAAAGTGAGGTGCATGAGGATACTCAGGATACTGCTGCTGCGCTTTATAGCTGAGGCTAACAGACTGAGCTTTCCACATTTACCGCACGCTCACTCACAACAGACTCAACCATACCAGCCGAGCCGGAAAAACTCGTGGAGCAAAAACGAGTGTTGAACTGAATCAGGAGTCGGTGTTTGGTGAGGCAGCGACCTCTGTTATATTTCCCCAGCCTGTGATCCGCGCGTCATTATCTCCGAGCTTATAATTATAATCTCGGCTGCAGTAGTAACCAGGGTCAGTTGTTCTTGTGCTGTGTTGAACTTTGTGCTGTGGTGTTGACCTTGTCGTGGTGGTTGTTGCCATGGTGATTTCACGATTTTGATTTCACGAGTTTGCCGCAGTGACAGTGGTTGTTGTCATGGTGATGTGTTGTTGACCCTAGCTGTGTTATTGCTGTTGCCATAACTACGTGATGCTACCGCCGAGTTAGTGGCTGTTTACATGGTGATATGATATATGTTTTAGGATGAGATACAAAAGGAGTCTGCTGCCGTAATTTTGGACCACGAACAACTTCAGGCGCAAAACAGAGATCTTGAGCAGGTAACTATAATTATTTTATTGACATTGTAGGTATGTATCAGGGGTGAATATACAGTGACATGCAATTGCAATTAAAATTGTAATTTGTGACATTAATTGCCTATACATATGCACTAGCATAGGACATGTATATTATAGGAGATAATTATAACGAATGTCTTCCTATCCTACCGGCACCTCCAGCCAGTCGGCAGTTCCTCGTTATCTGACCGGCGGCCATCTTGTTTGACCTTCGCAGGCGATGAAGGTGACGGCGGTATCAGAGCAGCTCGATAATCTACAGCTGAACAAGGAGTTATCGGGCGGGGAGCGCGTGGCTGTGATACAAGCACGCGTGCTACTGGACGTGCTCACCAGACATCTACAGGACGGCAAGCGACGAGACCACGACGAACTCACGCATGCGCAGACGCTCGAACAGCGCCTAAGCGAGGTGCAGACGGAGAAGGTAGGTGGCGACGCTTACGTGCGCGATTTGGCCGTTTGAATAATAATAAAATGATGGTAAATACTAAATAAGCACAAACTGTATTTACTACCAAAGTCTCAAGATTGAATTTGTGTATGGGCAATCGCCTAATAATTCCACGTAAATGGCGTTCCAATGCTCCTCTGCAACGCAGAATCCCACGCCACTGTAAACAAACCCACACCAAGATAGATTTCCCAGAAAAATAGAGTATACTATTTTTCTCTGAGTTTGTGCACAATGAGAAAATCCGTCTCACGCGCGTACTTTGAAGGTTTCCCGTGTTCTTGGCTACTTTTTAAGAGATATTCTGGCGTTTTAGCAACATCTACGCAATTTCAAATAGCACGTCCCGTATAAATTAGAGCGAATGAACCATGGTTATGTTGTTAGCTACAAGCCTACAGCTTAATTAAATATATGTGCCCCTTAATCTATATGTTGCGTGAATTTCATGGCATTTAAAGGCATCTACTATATAATAGTGGAAGGAGCCGAAGTGTCGTTTTACGTATCTCCTCCGAAACCGTGCCGCGTGTGCTCGCGCGAATCGAGCTGGGGCCCCTTCTGGGCGTCGCGACTAGATTCCGCTACGTTAGAACGCGATTTTTTCATCGTAAAGTCACTTTTTGAGGCAATTTTCTAAA